ACAGCAATGCTTGACACAGTCAGTCCTGGGTCTCAATCTAGGAGCCTCCACTGAAAGCTGGCAGTTCAGCAGCTGCAGTCCACCTGCAGGCAAACTGACCCCTGGCAATGCAAGAAACGTTCAAACCTGTAGAGCAGTGGTTTCCAACCTTGGCTGCACATCAGAATCACCTGGGAATCTTTTTAAAATCCTGGTTTCTGGGCCTCATCCTCTGGAAATTCTGTTTCTTTGTTACTAATGTTGTGGCCCCACCCCATAACAAAGAAACAGAATTTCCGGAGGATGAGGCCCAGAAATCAGGATTTTAAAAAGATTCCCAAGTGATTCTGATGTGCAGCCAAGGTTGAGAACCACTGCTGTAGATAATTTTTATGAGTTTCACTGAGCCAAACTGACGACATTACTAGGAAGCAAATCTCATGGATGAGAAATGCTCAGAGAATGGCGGTTTTGCACCTTATTTTCATACATTACAACCAAAGGAAGAGGCCTGAAGAGGTTTCTATGAAATCCATTGGTGATAAATTAGGGAGGCGGGAGAAAGAAAAACAGGGAAAACTCTGGGATCGGATAAAAAGTAAAATGGAGACATATTTCTTTTACATTGGTTGGTACAGGAGAGTTAACAACTAACATTTACAGCGCAAAAAACAAGATGACGAAAGGTTCCGTGGTCTTTCCCTCTGGTGGGAGATTGTGCCCTGAGGAGTCTGGGGAAAAAAAGGATTATTCAGACATTCCAAAGGTATGTTATCTTAGATGCAAAAAAAAAAAAAAAAAAGACAATAGAGGGGCTCAGTTAAGGTAAAGATTGACCTTTGTCAAGGAATATGCCTGCCTAGGACATGACTACCCACCATGACTCCCTTTTACTAGTAGTTAAATAGTTTTCATTTCAGACCATCCTATGTGGTTACTTCAGGTCTCTGAGTGTGTAAGGCTCCCCATGCAGGCCTCCCCTGAGCTTGTCAGGGTTAGTAGGTGGCCCCTTTTTCATCCACACCCCTTTAGTCCAGCAACACTTTGGCAAGGTGGAGAGCAAAGGAGATGTTTTTTTTTTTGTTAAAAGGCCTGGATTTTAAAACTAAATGAATTCCATTCTCCTTCTGTTTACTGCAACCCAACAGCTGATTTGGATGGAGCACCACATTAAGGATACACTAACACTGTGGTTCTCAACCTTGGCTGCACATTAGAATCACCTGGGAATCTTTTTAAAATCCTAATTTCTGGGCCTCATCCTCCGAAAATTCTGTTTCTTTGTTATGGGGTGGGGCCACAACATTAGTAACAAAGAAACAGAATTTCCGGAGGATGAGGCCCAGAAATCAGGATTTTAAAAAGATTCCCAGGTGATTCTAATGTGCAGCCAAGGTTGAGAACCACTGCACTAACATATAGTCCCCACATTGCTTAATTAACCTCTTACTGGAGAGAACTAAAAGCAGCGGTTGGAATTTAGAACAGTTTTTGTTAATTGCACATGTAAACACCTCACATTGTTTCAGAGACAATACCTTCTGCGAAATTCCTCTCTAGGCCTCAGTGAAGTTGAAACCGCAGAACCAGCTCAACATGGTCCTATGCTGTTTCCAACAAGATAGCGAGTTGCCTTTCAGAGACAAGGGACCAAAACCGCCAGCCGTGCAACCAGAGCATGCGCAGAGGAGAGAACTTGGACCGCCAGCTGCACTCGGAACCAAAATGGCACCTCCCACTCCCCAGAACCAAAGGACCAGGACAGGACCCGAACTTGAACACGGGAAACCTTTCAAAGGAAAGGGTCCCTTGTGCAGGAAGATCGGGGGCTGAAGCCCTTTAGCATATCTTACCTTAAAGGGCCAACTTCCAAGCTTCTCCAGTCAAAACCTGCACCGCCAGCGCATCCGCATACCAGCCGGTTCCCCCAACCGCTAACCCTCAATCTTGGCCTTTAAAAACCCTTGATTCGCCCTGGCTGGTTTGGCTCGGTAGATAGAGAATCGGCCTGCGGACTGAAGGGTCCCGGGTTCCATTCCTGTCAAGGGCACATGCTCAGGTTGTGAGCTCGATCCCCAGTAGGGGGTGCGCAGGATGCAGCCAATCAATGATTCTCTTGCATCATTGATGTTTCTATCTCTCTCTCCCTCTCCCTTTCTCTCTGACATATATTTAAAAACCAAACAAACAAAACCCCTTGATTCAATGACTTTGGGGAGTTTGGGTTTTAAGCGATAGCTTCCTGTTCTCCTTGGTTGGTCCCTGCAAATGTGCATGGGCTGGGAAGACCTTCATTCTGTTT